TCTCTCCCCATTGCTGTCAGCACTCCCCACGCACTGGCTGTAACTCCCAGGCTTGGGGCTGGGGCCCAGTGATTACACTGGATTTTATGTTCCCTGCTGGAACCCAGGCAATTCTGTAAGGAGCCAACTGTCACCTCTTCAAAGGCTTGGGACAGCCTTGGCCAGGATCACCCTTCCCCTCAAAAATGGACATAGCATTCAGATTAGGTCTTCCCAGTTCCCCACCGACAAAGCTAATTCAGCTGTATATCCAGGCAAATCAATGTTTATGTTCTCTGCTTTCCAAAGTGAGCAACGTGGGAGGCCAGTGAAAACAACTCAGGGATTACCATAAGTATTTTGACTAGAGCTTCTTCTATGCAGAGCTTGGAGGTCACGGCCAAGTCCACCCAGGCCGGCCCAGCTGCCTCTCTCACGCCTGTGATCTGACTACTTCAGTCTAGGAGTGGGAATCTCCTTAGGAACTGTTTCGGTTTTTCCATCGTCAAACAGTCAGTGTAGTTTTCCACAGTTTGCTGCACCCCTGAGCATAATATGTAGGAAAATCATCATTAAATAATCTCCTTGAAGTTCCAAGAAGAAAGGCGACTACTTTTGATCACAGAACTAGGTTGGATCCCTGACATGCTGATTCTCACCATGAGTGGGGAAATTTATGTCTCTGGAATGTGCACTGTCTTGGCTGAGCCAAACCCATCACATTGGACATCAACATGCTCCATCCTCACTCAATCCTTCCCAGGGGCTCAGGCAGAAGAGAAAAGGATGTTGTCTGAAAGTCTTAATCACTCAAGGAAGATTCCTGGCAGGGTAGGAACCCATGATATGTGTGATAAAAAAAAAAAAATGAGTGCTGCTGATAGGAAAAGCTACTTCTCTTTCCAAATGATGGATAACAGAAATGAGTGAGGATACCAAGAAAAAGAGCCAATTTGTCAAGGATCTTGCACTGGCAAAATGAGCAATGTTTACACGGCAGGGAGAGAGGAGAAAATGTGGTGTCGGGGCCTGTCACAGTCACTTTTGCTCCATTCTCAAACCTCATCGTGACAGGTTGATTCAATGAAGATGACAGTGCTGTGCTCCACAAAACCGCAGGGCCCAAGCTCTTTCCCATCACAGCTCATCAGCACTGTGGGATAGCCGGGTTCCCTGTGCACTGCATGCTGGTCACGGCCGGCTCAGTGGCCTTGCACACATCTTCAGGCCACGGACGGGAAGCAGCCATTCTCCCATGGTGGGTCAGTTGGACACACTGAGTGGGAGACCCACACCTTCTATGCTGGTTCAGCTAGTGCCAGCTCTGGGTCATCAGCACCAACACGGACCCCAGGACATGTACCAGGTCTTTGTCAGCCCTGCCCCTGTGCCTGCATGCCTCCCCTACACTGGTGCTCTTGTTTCTTCTCCCCACTTGGGTTAGTCTCATTCACCTTTGGACAGAAGTTGAGAAGTGCCATGGCCCTCCTGAACACCCAAGTCCTCCATGACTGCTTTACTCTACAAAATCCTGTGGTTGTGCACGTCAGTCTACCAGCATTGAACTGATCAGCATTTCTTGAGTACCTTCTCCACACAAGACACTGTGCTGGGTGCCAGAGACATCAAGATGATGAGGATTTGATGCCTCTCATCAGAGCACTAACAATGTACATAGTGAGACAAGATAGACTTATAAGTAGATTAACCTAAAGATCATGATAAATATGAGGCTGGTGGCTAACCAAGCACAGCTGTACTATGTAGTAAATGATACTCAGGGCTCTGTATCCTACTTACAGGGGTCTGACTTTCTTACAAGACACAGTTGTGATGCCCAGAGTCCATTCATTCTCTGCTTAGGGCCCTCAGAGCTCTGAGAGGTATCAAGCAAAACAGAATTCCATCTGCCACCCAAAAGACAACACAGTCATGCTATTGACTTGAGACTCATCTCTGGGGCAATGCTAGTGCTCAAGTATAAGCTTATCAATTTTACACTGAAGACAGAAGAAATATGGTATTTGCTTACTAGCATATTTGAATCCTAGCAAGTATTGCAATGTTTCCTGTAATTCTAAGAGTTTGGACGCACCACCATTGAAGTCATACCCAGATACATGTGCCAGTATCTCTTCCTCAGACCTCTTCTTCACATGTGCACACAGAGATTTCGGAGGGGCCTGAAGCTTAGTGTGGCCAAAATGAAATTTATCTCACTCACTCCTTAACCTTGATCCTCTATCTTCTGCTTTCTGTGCTCTTAATCATCCACACAACTGCCTGAGCCCCAAAGCCGACTTTATATTTGAAACATTCTTCTCTTTCACCTCTTACATCCAAAACACCTCAAGTCTCTCCACCCCTCTCTTATCAATGCCTGCCTCCCCAAGCAACATAGCTATCACCACACCTCTGATGACAGCCTCCTCACCAGGTTCCACCCTCTGCACTTGCCCTTGCCCACCTTTTCAAAGAGCTGCCCGAAGGATACTGACATATAAGCCAGATGCGGGCACAGCCCTGTTCAAAATGCTTCCTTGGCTTCCTGTAACTCTCGGGCTTAGCATCCAAACTTTCTTCTGAGTCTCTCTTGGCTTTGGTACTTGCTGTCTGAGTGTCACTTTCTGATTCTGTCTCTAACCACGCGGGGTTTCTTTCCAGCATTTTCCTAACTGTGGAGCATGGTTAGTTGCTGAATAACTCCTCCTTCACCTAGCAGAACTGAGATTTCTCTTGGGGTTTTTCCCTCATCCACAATGCCACTACCTGCTTCATTTTGGCCATTTTATTTGCCAGTGACTGGTTTAGAAAAGACACCAGAGAACTTGCTTTTGCTCTCTCTGCCAAGTGAGAACACATCAAGAAGGCAGCCATCCACAAGCCAGGAAGAGGGCCCTCACCAGAACCAAAATTGGCTGGCCCCTTATCTTAGACTTGGAGTCTTCAGAACTGTGAAAGGAAATGTCTCTTGTTTAAACCACCCACTCTACAACATTTTTTGTAGCAGCAGCCTAGGCTGACTAAGCCACCCTTTCTCAGTTTTAAATTACTGATCTCAATTCCTGTCAATATGCACCTCCTCATGGCTTCACCAATAATACCTTAAACGAAATTATTTCTCTCCAGGACGATAATTACATACAAACCCAAACAGCAGTCTATAACATTAGTGCAGGCTCAGAGAGTAGTGGCTAAAGGCTCAAACAGCAATCAAGGAACAAAAATATGAGACAGAAAAAGATCCCAGGGAACGTTCTGGTAGATGGCTAATACCAGCCTCAGCCTTTTGCCAGAAGGAGACTGGCCAATCATTTACTACCTTAAACTTTTCACAGTCAAGTAAGGTGAAGTAGCTACCTCTGTAAGAATTTTAGTTGACAATTTATGGAGGGAGTCGTTAGCCAGTGCCCAGCCTCTGCTTACCCAGGAAACTACCTAAAATGGTATGCAAAATGTGTGTGTGTGTGTGCATGCGTGTAATTTCACTAGGAGGATCCACAGCTCTTATGAGATTCTTAAAAGGGTCTGTAGCCTGCCCTGGTCTCGCCCGAAAGAGTGAAATTATTGCAGAAAATGGTCAGTGTGCTTTGAAAGGGCAAGCACTCTATAAAATGTGTAACACATGGGTTTCAGAGCTCAGATCCATCTGGCCTTCACCTACTTCCATGACCCAGAGCCCTCCAGGCCAAGTGTATTATAATGGGTAAGATTCTCCTTCAGTAATGCCAAGAATCAATGGCAGCTGTCACCTGAATGGGCACGAAACTACAAAAGGTGAATGGACCAGGCAGAGCCCCTCTGCTTCCTAGATAGTGAGGCGAAGCCCACACAGGAGGATGTTTCCAGCTCTTCCTCAGGACAGCACGTCAGGCTGAAAGGACCTTCCCGTCATGATCTCCTCTAGTCTTTCCTTATGAGCAAGGGGCTCTGTCTGCCAGACAATGTCCCTTCCTTGGGGGTGAGGAGGAGGGGACATTCATTCTCCAGCAATTACAGTAATCAGCTGGCCTAAACCTGCCCTACAAGTGTGTTCCATCCTGAGTGCTTGATATAGGACTGCACAGGGAACTTGCAATTCACAACAGTTTTACAGAAGACACAAGCAACACAAAATATTAACAATAAAAAACAAAACTGATGATCCTGAAATAGTTCAAGGCTATGGTCTAGGACTGTGTTTCCTGGGTTAGGGAGACAGGCATATGAGAAGAAATAAGGAATCCATGGCTAGATTTTGATTTTCATTACATTTTCAAAAACGGACTTCCTTTGTAGACCAAGGTAGCACATGAAAAAATTCTCAGCATCATTAGCTATCAGGGAAATGTGCCTCAAAACGACAGTGGGATGTCACTTCATATCCATAGGGTAGCTACTATTATTTTTTTAAAGGACAATAACAAATGAAGGTCAGAATGTGGAGAAACTAGAATCCTTGTGCCTGGCTGTTGGTGGTTCCTCACCAGTTAAACACAGGATTACCATATTAAATGCCAGCAGCTCCACTTCAATACCCAAAATAACTGAAAGCAGGGATTTGAACAGACATTTGTACACCCATGTTCAGTGTCATTCTCAGTAACCAAAGGACGGAAACAACCCACATGTCCATTAACAAAGGATAAATAAGCTGTGGTCTATCCAGACCATGAAATATTATTCAGCCTTCAAAAGGAAGGAACCTCTGACTCAGGCTACAACACAAATGCACCATGAAGACACAACGCTAAGTGAAATAAGCCAGGTAAGAGGACAAATTCCATGTGATTCCACTTATGGTTGGTGCCTGCAATACGCAAATTCACAGAGACAACTGGAACAGTGGTTACCAGGAGCTACTGTCGAATAGGTACAGCGTTTCAGGTTGGGTTAATGAACGTTCTGGAAATGGACAGTGATGGTGGCTATGCAACACTGTGAAATGGCTGAAATGGTAACTCTTGTGCTATGCATATGTTGCCACGATTTTCAAAGAAGGGGAGAGGAAGGAAGCAACAGAGGCAGCAGGCGATACTTACAAGATGTAGGCGATCACCCCGATGGACCAGCAGTCAACGGCTTTGCTGTAGGGTTTCTGGGCAAGAACTTCAGGAGCTGGGGACGACAAAGAGGAGACATAAGCCTGCTGATGTGAATGCAAGAGACTGAAGACACTTCCCCGTTGTCTTTTTTTATTCTTCTCTGTGTGCTACACAGACTGAACTTTCTTCTAAGAACTGAGTAGATAGATAGGACCCATTTTATTTGTGGATCTTTCTAATTAGAAAGCAAAATGAGGAGGGTGTGTGTGTGTGTGTGCACACGTGTGCATATGCATGTGTGTTTTTCTGTGCGGCAGATTACCAGTTGAACTCAATGAATGGCCCACTGATCAATCCAGTGCTTCATTCGTGGCTCTTACAGCTGTGTCAAGCACTATAGTGCAGACCAGACTGACATAAGGAAGCAGTACTCAGTTTGGGGTGTGCACACTTGCAAGTGGCTTCACATGGAAATCAGCTCAAGGCACCATTTCTGGCCCTGGTATCAGGCTTTGCTAGGTATTACAGGGACATGAAGGTGACACCTCCGCCTTCTGTCTTCCCGGAGTGCACAGAGCAGTAGAGCTCCCCTCTGCAGCCCGGCCTTCGGGGCTCCTGCTCCAGGGCTCCTTTTTCCCCCATTCTCTGTGGATGGAGGTGGGTTACCTGGTAGCACTCTCATTCCCTTTTCTCCCCGGAGAACCAGGACACATCTCACTTCCTTGGTTCTAACCCACTGTGCAGTGAGAGCCAGCCACTCTGGGACTCTGTGCTCATTTTGTATTCTTCTTGCACGACCTGTTCCTGCCCCCATGGCTGCAGCCTGAGTCAGACCACCCGCTAGCCAAGGTCTGGTGACCAGCAGTGTCTGGAGGTATTGGCAATCAATACATATGTGTGCAAGGATGAGATCAATACAAGAGACAGCCATGCTATCCACAAAGTAAGATCTCCTCTGTGCCCATCCCCCAAACACATCCGACTCTGGTGTCTTCCACAGACGTTCCCAAAAAAGTTAACAGGATAGAGAAAAATCACAATAGGATAGGTGAGAAGGCTGAATGCGCTTGGAGGGCCGTGGAAGCACTGATTCAGCCAAACATGCTTAGGGGAAGCCCCACGGTCACAACCACCATTACTCCCAAATTACAGGTAAGAAGACAGAGGCCACAGAACGTGGCCAACATGACCCAGCGGGAGTGGCCTCTGCACTAACTTCCTCTCCAAAGGGACTTGGGTGAAGTGCCTGCCATCAGCTGGGTCTTGGGCTGGGTACTAACATTTTCTCCTGCAATCAGGTCAGCAACTCTGACAACTACCGTCTCCCTGAGCCCAGCACTCTGGTCACAGTGGCTACACAAGCACAGGTGCTGTAAGGAGTCACTGCAAGGTGCACAGAGCTTCGAAGGCCATCCTCATGGCCTGGTAGAAATCTCACAGGAGGCAGAGAAGGCCCACAGGGCAGCGTCTTACCAGGCTAACCACCCACAGAGCTGATGGCAGACATCAGCAGCACAGAGCTAAGCTGGTCGGGGAGAGGTCACATGGATTCACAGGGATCTTTGGCAAGTTGGCCAGCCAGCCTGGCCCAGCCACTGCACCGCACCAGATGTCAGCACAGAGGCACTGGGAGCTCCGCACGCGACTGAGAGCACAAACTCGTGACGTGTACGTGGGAGAGGAGCGCAGAGGAGGACACTCTCAGCACCTATGACAGATGCTTTCACAGCAGATGAGCAAAGGCTGGGCCAGTGACCCAAGCCATGATGTGCAGTGGGGGAAGAGGACTACAGCTGTTGCAAAGCAGGCTTCACACCTAGGAAGAGCTGAGCCTTCCATCCTCACAGTCCTGGTCTTCCTCCCCCTCCCCCTCCTCTTCATCTGTTAGAAAGGGAAATGTGGCCAGTGCCGCGGTTCACTAGGCTAATCCTCCGCCTTGCGGCGCCAGCACACCAGGTTCTAGTCCCTGTTGGGGTGCCGGATTCTGTCCCGGTTGCCCCTCTTCCAGGCCAGCTCTCTGCTGTGGCCCGGGAAGGCAGTGGAGGATGGCCCAAGTGCTTGGGCCCTGCACCCGCATGGGAGACCAGGAGAAGCACCTGGCTCCTACCATTGGATCAGCGCGGTGCGCCGGCCGCAGTGCGCCGGCCACGGCGGCCATTGGAGGGTGAACCAATGGCAAAGGAAGACCTTTCTCTCTGTCTCTCTCTCTCACTGTCCACTCTGCCTGTCAAAAAAAAAAAAAAAAGAAAAGAAAAGAAAAGAGAGGGAAAGGTGTCCTTGCACCCACGGAGGGATGCTTGTACGGCCAACATTCCATCTTCCCTCTGCAAAATCCATGAGCACATCGGGCAGTGGTACAAGGCACTGTGTAGACTTGAACAGTAAGTGACTGATTTTTATGCAACTTGGAGATTGGATGTTCCTTGAGATGCTTAGGTTCTGGAAGACACAGATTGATTATAGATACTTTTTTTTTTTTTAATAAGAAGGTCTGCTTAAATGGGAAAGCTTGCAACATCAAGTACAGGGTTAAAATAAGATTTCTGGGGGTGGGTATTTGCCCTAGGGATTAAGATGCTGTTTAAGACAGCTGTGTCACATGTTGGAGTACCTGGTTGGAGTCTCCATTCCAGCTCCTGATTCCAGCTTCTGTCAGTGCAGAAGTGATGGTTCAAGTACTTGGGTCCCTGCCACCCACATGGGGACCTGGATTCAGTTCCTTGTTCCTGGCTTTGGCCTGGCTCAGCCCTGTTTGTTGCAGGCATTTGGGGAAGTGAACCAGGGGATGGGAGCAATCTGTCTCTCTGCCTCTCAGATAAATAAATGAATAAATAAAGATTTCTGCTTTGGTCAGTAGCGTGGATGTTGGAAGAAGGGTTCCAAACCATGAATAACACCAGGATGGATGGACTCTACATATTTGTGCAAAGCATTCCCTGTGCTTTTCACTTTGTGTCTTATCTTGGCTATATCAAGGACAAAATACATTTTTCTTTAACTGATTGGAGGTGAGTACACCATCTGCCTTCTGGTGAAATCCGTCGTTGCACTTGGAAGCAAAAGTCAAAGGTGATGACAGAAGCGTGTAACATAATGAGAAAAAGACAAAGCAAATGGATTCGGGAATAACATTCCAACCAATTTTAAATATTCTGAAACTTATATAATGGCACACACACCAACAACCTAAATTCTAATGTCACTTGTAACACGGCTGGTAGAATAAAGGCCCTTTGGGACTATATCTGAAAAAGCCTGCCAAGATGACTTCAAGTAGCTACTTTTCTTTCTTTTTTCTTTTTAACATAACTATAAAACTTTTGGTTTCTTTTACTTTTTAAAATTTTTTAATTTTAATTAAACAGACTCAATAGGATTTGCTGATGTAATTCTAGAAACATAATGACATTCCCTTCCTCCCCCTCCCTATTCTCCTCCTTCTTTCTCCCATGCACTCCTTTTTCTAGTTTTTGAGATAACATTTTAAATTTACATTACAGTAAAAAGGCTTAACACTTGATGGAATAACAAGTTTAACAAGCAAAAAGACCCTAGTTTAGTGGGAATATAGACAACGGCTATAAACAATTGAATGGAAAACTGGTTATTTCACCCATATACAGTATATTTTAAAGTGATGACAGCTCATTTAAACTATAGTGGTATAAAATTCTTAACCACTGGTTTGACAGAGGTATAAAATAAAGTTTTACAAAACTATATTTGCAGCAATATTGATCCACACAGACATATCTTTCTTGTTTGTTTAAATTTTAGCTCCCACATATAAGGGAGAACATGTGCTAATTGCCTTTCTCGGTCTGGTTTATTTCACTTTACATGATGTCCTCCAGTTGTATCCATCATCCTGCAAATGGTAGAATTTCATTCTTTTTTATAGCTGATTAATATTCTATTGTATATATTTGCCAAATTTTCTTTACCCACTCATCTGATGATGGACACCTTGGTTGGTTCCAAATTTTGGCTATTATGAACAGTACAGCTACAAACATAGTGGTGCAGGTATCTCCTTGATATACTGGATTTAAGTCTTTTGGGTAAATACCCAGTAGTGGGATTGCTGGATCATACGGCAAGTTTATTTCTAGTTTTTAAAGGAATCTCCACACTGTTTTCCACAGTAGCTGCACGGATTCACATTCTCACCACCAGTGTATAAGTGTTCCCCTTTGTCCACATCCTCACCAGCATGTTACTTTCTGTGTTTTGGATTTTAGTCATTCTTACAGGGGTGATATCTCACTGTGGTTTTGATTTACATTTCCCTGATGGCTAGTGATGTTGAGCATTTTTTCATAGATTTGTTGGCATTTGTATTTCTTCCTTTGAGAACTGTCTGTTGAAGTCCTTTGCCCATTTCTCAACTGGATTGCTTGTTTCTGTTGTTGTTTTTTAAGTTGCTGTTATATTCGGGATGTTAATCCCTTGGCAGGTAAGTGGTTTGCAAATATTTTTTCATCCATTCTGCTGGATATCTTTTCACTCTATGATCATTTCCTTTGCTGTGCAAAAGCTTCTCAGTTTGATACAGCCCCATTTGCTTAATTTTGCTTTTGTTGCCTGTGCTTTGGGGGTCTTGTCCAAGAAGTTGTCCCCTACACAATATCTTAGAGCATTTCCCCTACATTTTCTTTCAGCAACTTCATAGTCTCTGATTTCAAACTTAGGTCTTTGATCCATCTTGAGTTGATTTTTGTATATGGTGAGAAGTATGGATATAATTTCAGTCTTCTACATATATACACCCAGCTTTGCCAGCACCATTTATGGTAGAGATTATCCTTACTCCAGTGTATGATCTGAGCACTTCTGTCAAACATCTGTTGGATATATGTACATGGATTAAATTCTGGGCTCTCTATTCTGTTCCATTGATCTACATACTGGTTTTTATGTCAATACCAAGCTGTTTAAGTTGCTACAGCTTTGTAGTATTCTTTGAAATCAGGTACTGTGATGCCTTCAGCTTGGGTTTTCTTGCTCAGGATTGCTTTGGCTCTTCTGGGTCTAAATGTGATTCCATATGAATTTTAGGATTTTTTTTCTAAC